TCTTTTCTTCTCTAATTTGTAGGTATCTTTTCTGTGATGATTTCTTCGGGGAAGAATCTATATTTTATGAATTTTTTGCAGATAAAATTTTATGAATAATAAGGTCAAGATATGCACCAGAAGAGGCCCAACCTAAGAACATGTCTAGCATGCCAAAATAAAATAAAAAGCAGAGGAGAGAGAGCAGTAATTTTTGACATGCAACTGATACTGAATTATTTGCCTTTGATAATCAATGGTACTATTTTGATTGTTATTTGTATTTATTAAAAAATCGAAGGGTTGGGCATAGTGGAAAAATCCCTTAATTGTAACTGAAGAGGTCAAGGATTTAAATCCCCTTGGGGCCACCTACCTGGCATATTATATCTCACTTGTTTTCTGGCTAACAAGGTTGCAGGGTTGGGAAGTAGCCTTCAGCTTAGATTTCGGTGCCCATGCAGGGAAAAGTTGAGGAATTTCTGGGTATAAACAAAATGCATTTAGTAAATGTACATTGTCATGAACTTTAAGAGTTTTCCCAATAATCTTGCAGTTGTAAATCATTTATTTGACTGATGGACTGAGGAAAAAATCTCTGCCTTGTACAGTGGAAATAGAGGACATACTGTTTTGGATAAATATTCTATTTTAAGTAAGAGACATTATAAGAACTTCTCATGTCATCTTTGATATTATCAGGTCCATTTGCAGTCATTAATGAGTACTTCAACTCAATACTACCAAATTGTTATGATGCTATTGGTTTAATGCTTATGATTCGCATAATGCACCAGCACCAGGTGATGTTACAAGCTCTTGTGATTGCAGTGTTTATGTGTTAAGAGTCTCTTAAAAAGTCCTATTTTCAAATTGTTAAAAGTCTCTCAGCATATATTTGCGGTGTCTTTTTTCAAATTTGCCCTTTTAAGAGAGAGCTAGTAGAGTTGTCTTTGCAATTACAATCTGAACTTGCCTTTGATGTTCGTTTTTCTTTTTCATTTTCTGTTACAGCTCATCATGTCTTGGCGGCGGATCCCATGCTTGGATTCATATTTAGACAAGGTCTGTTATCTTTTGTACCTTGCAGGCAAAAGTTATCCCAACATAGACCAACTTTTTTACTGAATCTGAGCAGGTCAATATTTCCCTATGGCCTCGTTTTAAGATGGTTTTTGACTTGCATCTTGGTAGTTTGCGTAATGCAAATGTGAGGACATTGTTGGAAGATGATATTCATCCTCATTATGTAATGAGGCATTACGCTGAATTTACAGCTTCTCTTATTCACCTCAATGTTGAATATGGAGATGGCCAGGTGAGATGCTTTTGAGAAACTGAACTAATTAACTGTTATTTTGTTTAACTGTTTCAGTGAGAGTACTTAAATATGCAGCCTTCTGTGTCTGCAGCTTGAATTGAATATGGAACAGTTGAGAATGGCTGTAGATGAATTGCTTATGAAGCTTGCAAAAATGTTTCCAAGACCAAAATTACAGACTGTGTTTCTGATAAATAACTACGACATGACAATTACTGTACTAAAGGTGAGAACTATGATTCTTCATGCTGGCTATTACAAAATTTTCATATGCACAGAGGTGGAGATCCTGCAGGGTACTTTTTGGAGAATTTTCTTGGCTTAGGCTGTTGTACTTTTTATAAGGAGAGCAGTTGCTCCTGTTGTATAGAGCATTTATATTATTATGCCTTGTGTGGCTCTCTGTTTCTAATTAAATTGTCATTTGGATGCCAGGAAGCTAGCCCTGAAGGTGGGAAAATTCAATTTCACTTCCTGGAATTGTTGAAGAGCAGCACAGCATTATTTGTGGTAAGCAATGACTAATTCAAGTTCTAGATTTTGTTTGCATGCAAAATGAAAATTTATTGTTGAACTTTTAGCTGCAAGTTTTCTTTTCTTACTGCTTGTGTTAAGAATAAGAACATAAAGCGAAGCAAAAGGGACGGAAGCTACCTTTTTCTGTTATTAATTCTGAAGGACTGAAAACAATCTCCTTAGAACTTTTAACTTGCATTCTTGTTCATGAAACACACATGTTATGTTTGTCAAACCCTTTTCAGAAGATAAGTGTTACACCCCAAAACGGACTTCTGTTTTTGGTTCATGGCTACGATCAAGTCTCTGTCTGATTTTGACTTGAAGCTTGTAGGCGACAAGTATAATTAATAAGTAGAATAGACTGGTTGTATGAACCTGGATTTACAGAGTAGTGAAAAACAATTGCATACCTGCTGGCTACGAACCTCTTGTTTTAGTGGCAAAAAAGTGCTAGTTATCATATTGGATGTTATCTCATAATGTTGCATGGTGGCACAGAATGGAAGAATAAGAAATTTTTTAAGGAGAAGAGTTCTTGTCAAAGTTATATACGTGGTTAAGCTCTTTTGCCTCCCTTGAAAAATCATTTCATAGTGTGCTTTATTGTGACTTCCTTTATTTGCAGGAAGAACTGCTGCTGGAGCATTTTAGTGATTTAATCAAGTTTGTGAAGACTCGAGCCTGTAAGTTCTAACCCACTTGTTATTGTGCCATGCTTGTAATCTTTCGGAAATGATCTTATTGGCCCATTCTCTTATTAGCGGAGGACGCAAGTTCTAGTTCAGATAAACCCATAACTATCGCTGAAGTCGAGCCACTTGTTAAGGACTTTGCGAGCAGATGGAAAGCTGCAATCGAGCTGATGCACAAAGACGTCATCACTTCTTTCAGCAACTTCCTGTGCGGTATGGAGATCTTGAGGGCTGCATTGACCCAGCTGCTGCTTTATTACACCAGACTCTCCAACTGCATAAAGAGGATTAATGGTGGGTCTGCACTGAACAAGGATCTTGTCTCCATATCTTGAATCATGTACGAAATCAGGAAATACTCGAAGACGTTCTAATATCACCATCATCATACAGAACCAAAGCATGACCTGGAGAATAACCTGATTTTAGATCAATGAGAGAGTTCATTTGAAAGCGCCGCTGCTATCTGTTGCACTGATCAAGCGAAATGATACAGAAATTATGTATATGTTAGAAAATGCAGAAATGATTTTTGAAGGTATTCAAAAAATTGATGGGAAAATTGCAAACAGTTTTGGGTAATCTATTGCAATATACAGAAGAGTGGAGACTGGAGACTTTGAAATTTGCATTGGTGGGGGGAAATGAGTTGATATTTCCCTATATGTATTAGTTTTAATATTTGTTATTGAGTTTCAATTTAATGTAGTTACAGAAACAACATAGAATTGCTTTTTATTTTTTTTCTTTTAAATAAATGCATATCGAATTTCGATTTAATATTGATCTAGTAACTTTACTGACCAATGTTTTAAAACCCAACCCGGGGTGAAACCTGGCAAAGCTTTCGGGTCCCTGGTTGATTGGTTTAACCGGTTTGACCGTTGACAAAAACTTTAAAAATTTAGCAAATACACCCCTAAAAATTACAGTTAAGTCCCTATAGGTTTGAAATTTATTAAACACACCCTAAATGCAAATCGATCGGCGATTGATTGGTGGCGGCGACACCTTAGATGCAACCTCAATTGTCCCTTGAGTCCATTTCCATCAAAATATACCCAAGATTTGGTCGAAATAGGTTCGATTTAGGCCAGATCTCATCGACGTCGGTGTCGGTGTCGGCATCGGCATTCTAGGTCAGATCTCATTGGCGCCGGCATCGAAAACCCTCCCCATCACCCAAGAATTACTCCCCTCTTTCTCCCGACCAAAACCCACCTCACCCCACCCCCGTTAGCCTCGCTAATCGTCGGCAAAATCTCATTGTTGCTGCTGCCAGTTTTGTTCGATTTCCGATCGATTTACTCACCAGAAATCAACTCCGTCACCACCATTGCGTTCACCGGCATTTTCTCTTCAAAAGCCCTAACATTCTGACCGTCAATTGTTCGCCAATCATCCTCCCAAATCCTAGGGTTTTGGGTGAATAGGAAAAATATAAACCCGGCCCATTGAAGCTTCCAGGTTCCGGTTCAACCGGTTCAATCGGCGGGGCCGGGTTTTAAAACATTGTTACCAACTTCTTGTGCAATGTAGTATCGTCCATATTCAACTGCTATTTTGTGGTTTATTATGAAAGAATTATTATAATAATGAAAAAGAATAAAGATTTTTCTCTTTTGTGGTTTATTATGAAAGAATTATTATAATAATGAAAAAGAATAAAGATTTTTCTCTTTTGAGTTAAAAATGTCAATGATTTGTTTAAAAGATTAGATTTAACCGTTAAATTACATGATTTAACCTAATTGCCTTTAAATTAAAATAGCAAGATTGTATAGACTATTGTGTTAATATAATCTAGCGTTATATGTTACTGATATAATTTTTATTGTTTCATTAAGAGTATAATTGAAAAGTCTCTAGATATAGGTGTTTATCTAAATTTATAAGGTGGTCAAACTTATTTATAACCTTTAAAATTAAGCTAATATGTTTGATTATAACTTTTTTGGATTTATAATTGAATTTATAAGAAGAAAAAAAAGTTGGGAGAAGGTATTTATTTATTTTTTCTTATAAGCATTTTGTTTATAAGTTATTTTGATAAAATATATTATTATATTACATCTTTTTAATTTTAAAACTTTATTTTATATTTTTAATAATATAATACTCTTTTTAATTATTTTAATACTAAAATATATTTATAAATTATATTTTATTCAACGTGTTAATTATTAACTATTTATCCTCACTTATAAACATTTTAATTAAACAAGTAACTTTTTAAACTATTTAGTGGCTGGATTTACGATGAATGAAATTTCGGGTCTTTTATGAAGAACGATAAAATGGTGAAGTTTGTAGGAAGCATTAACTTGACTTAAAAAAAAAAAAAAAAAAAAAAGAAAACAGAGAACCTGAGTCACATAACCAGTGAAGTCCAGAGGTTTATGAACCGTATTGAATTGGTTTGTGTAACCTGCCCATGTCTTCTATGGCAGACTAAATAAGTTTTGGGAAAACTTCGGCAATTACATTTACATGGGCTCCAGTCACACATTTCATTGGAAGTGTCTTAACACTGTTAATTGATTATACCAGGAAATTTTTTTCGTCTCCCACCGGCCTCCATATTTTTCTGTCTTTACAGTTTACACTGTTTATATCAAGAAATCTTTTTGAAAGAGAGAAACAACAATTATGAGAAAATTTCAACCCTTTTAGATTTTCTAGTTTAAACTTACTAGTCAAATTCATCTTATTAATTGCAATCCACTAAAATTTGAGGGTTTGCTATAATTTTTCTATTATTTTCCTTTTCTGATTTCTTTATAGTGGCGCCGAGTTGGTCCATAACACAAAACTGTTGAATCCTATTTGGGTTATGAAATGAAGGTACGCTAAAACCCTAAGCTTGGCTATTCTTTATCTTCTAGTTACACACAACACTCTTCGTTAGGAGAAGAGGGGCCACTCTCTCTCACTCACTGCCCTTCAGGTGGGTTTCAATCTCTTTCTCTCCGTCTCCCTTTCTGTGTGTCCAACGCCGTATCTAATGTTTTATGTATTGTATATTAAATTGAGTTGTTTACTGGAAAGAGCAGCAACCAAGTTTCTGCAAAACCAAAACACAAGAAGAAGAAGAAGAAGAAGAAGAAAAGCTAAAAAATCATGGACAAAATGAAAATAGAAGAAGTTCAATCTACTGCCAAGAAGCAGCGAATCGCATCCCACACTCATATTAAAGGCCTTGGTCTTGAGGTCCTTTTTCCTTCTCTTTCTCTGCCTCTTAAATATTAAGAAAAAATCTTACTTTTGTTCTAATTTCCCGCTGCTTTCAACTGTAATTGCTCTCTTTGCCGTTAAAGCTTCAAACTTTTTTTTTTTCTCTTAGGTTTAGGGTTTATGCTGTGTACGGAATTTTATTTTCGTTTTTGTTTCTATGTATACATGTTTTGGTTTTTGACTTCGCGTTGGCTTTTGGGTTGTGTTTATTATATCTGTCTTTTTGTTATCAAAGTTACAAGATTCAGGAAATTGGCTTGTGTTTATTATATTTTTATTCATGTTTTTTAAAGTTTATAGAATTTGGGTAAAGCATAAAGTTTTAGTCTAATTAGAAGTGTTAAACCTAAGAATGTTGACAGTTTAGTAATGCCAATTACTTTGAGTTGACATATATACAATGGTCACTTTTGGTTTATCTCTTTATTAGATAGTAAATGGTTGGCTGTACTGATCTACATTGGACTGATTGATAAATGTTTGTGGATTTTTCTGATGCAATTAATTATTTTATTTTCTATTTTGCAGCCAAATGGAACTGCAATATCTTTGGCTGCTGGCTTCGTGGGTCAGGTGGATGCAAGAGAAGCTGCTGGTCTTGTTGTTGATATGATTAGGCAGAAGAAGATGGCTGGTCGTGCACTCTTACTGGCTGGTCCTCCCGGTACTGGGAAGACTGCGCTGGCCCTCGGAATATGTCAGGAACTTGGAAGCAAGGTGCTCTTGCTATTTCCACATCTGTTAATACCTTTTTTGTGTTTTGATGTTCCTAATTGGAATCTTTTGTTCTTGTTCCTGTTTCTTCTGGTGGATGATTGCTTTTGATATTAACAACATTGATGGGCTTTCATGCGTATAAAAAAAATGTACATTTTACTACTTTTTGGCAGGTTCCCTTTTGCCCAATGGTTGGTTCAGAAGTATACTCATCAGAAGTAAAGAAAACTGAGGTTTTGATGGAAAATTTCCGAAGGGCTATTGGTCTACGTATGAAGGAAAATAAAGAGGTCTATGAAGGAGAGGTAAGCGCAGTTTAGTTATATGATTCTTTATCAGTCTGGTCTGATCATGGTTACCTTTTTATTTTCATATTGAGTTGGACTTGGTTTATGATGCTTTTCTTTTCTTGTTATAGGTGACTGAACTCTCCCCAGAAGAAACTGAGAGTGTGACAGGTGGCTATGGTAAAAGCATTAGCCATGTGATTATTGGTTTAAAAACTGTCAAAGGAACCAAGCAACTGAAGCTGGACGCCACTATTTATGATGCCTTGATCAAAGAAAAAGTGAGCTCTTGTTATTTCTTTTCCTTTCGATGCACAGAGCTATAATATGTGTTCTTTGATCTGTTTCAGATATTGCTGTTTTTTCTCTGGAGGAATTTATTGCATGTTGGTTATTCGTCCTTTTCTATTGCACGTCTGCAAGCTTATGTTTGAAAACATATTTTTGTTTTTTATTTTAATTTGGTCTTTTGCAGGTGGCTGTTGGAGATGTCATATATATTGAGGCAAATAGTGGTGCAGTCAAAAGGGTGGGAAGGAGTGATGCTTTTGCTACTGAATTTGACCTTGAAGCAGAAGAGTATGTTCCACTTCCTAAAGGGGAAGTTCACAAAAAGAAAGAGATAGTCCAGGTTTGTCTCATTTGAATTGTGGCTTCTTTGTGCACGTTTGTTGATATCATTCATGATGTTTTATTTTATGATAATAGTTATGTTGGATTTTAAAAGACATCAGTTTATGTGTTTTAAATAGTGAAAGTGCTTTTTTGTCTTTCTGACTGTTATACTATCAACACTGCTATCTTCGCTTTCAAGTTGATAACTTATTGGCCCTAAGCTGCTTTGTCTTTTCACACGACTCACGTTTCTGTGAAGAATATTTGATCCAAGTAAACGAAATCAAGTTGATACATATTTTCTTCTTCTGGAGATTTCTGGCCCATAACTTTTTTCGTTGAACATTAGACTTGCAATATTTTGTTTTTGGGCCTGATGGCTGTAATCTACCCAATAAAAATTAGTTATGACTTTGATGCCTTTATGACTTCTTTCTGGGCATCGCACCCGTTATGAAATTAATTTTATGTCATGGTGAATTGTCTATTTTCTTATATCAGGATGTAACACTGCATGATCTGGATGCTGCAAATGCGAGGCCTCAAGGTGGGCAAGATATATTGTCTTTAATGGGTCAGATGATGAAGCCGAGGAAAACAGAGATTACTGAAAAACTACGTCAAGAAATAAATAAGGTTCTTTTTTTAATCCTCCTTGTTTTGTCATTTACAAAAAAAGCACTTGAAGTATGCCTTGCCATGACCCCAATAATTGCATTGAAAAAAAACAATAATAAGGATGACAGTCTGCAATGGTCTTTAATCTCAACTGTCACACTTCTAAGTTTTGCCTGTAAATGTAATGCTTCGGCTGAAAATTTTCGCCGATGCCAGGTTGTTAATCGGTATATTGATGAAGGTGTGGCAGAGCTTGTTCCTGGAGTTCTATTCATTGATGAGGTTTTCTCCTAACCCCATTTTGTTTCTATATGTATATATGTTCAGATTTGTTGTATGTTTCTTATGTTACAATCTGCAGGTTCATATGCTGGACATGGAGTGCTTTTCATACTTGAATCGTGCTTTAGAGAGTTCACTATCTCCAATCGTAATCCTTGCTACAAATAGAGGAATATGTAACGTACGGTATGATACCTCTTGTGCTGATGTTGAAAATGTTAGAATAGTTATTNATTAGACTTGCAATATTTTGTTTTTGGGCCTGATGGCTGTAATCTACCCAATAAAAATTAGTTATGACTTTGATGCCTTTATGACTTCTTTCTGGGCATCGCATCCGTCATGAAATTAATTTTATGTCATGGTGAATTGTCTATTTTCTTATATCAGGATGTAACACTGCATGATCTGGATGCTGCAAATGCGAGGCCTCAAGGTGGGCAAGATATATTGTCTTTAATGGGTCAGATGATGAAGCCGAGGAAAACAGAAATTACTGAAAAACTACGTCAAGAAATAAATAAGGTTCTTTTTTTAATCCTCTTTGTTTTGTCATTTACAAAAAAAGCACTTGAAGTATGCCTTGCCATGACCCCAATAATTGCATTGAAAAAAAATAATAATAAGGATGACAGTCTGGAATGGTCGTTAATCTCAACTGTCACACTTCTAAGTTTTGGCTGTAAATGTAATGCTTTGGCTGAAAATTTTCGCCGATGCCAGGTTGTTAATCGGTATATTGATGACGGTGTGGCAGAGCTTGTTCCTGGAGTTCTATTCATTGATGAGGTTTTCTCCTAAACCCTTTTTGTTTCTATATGTATATATGTTCCAGATTTGTTGTATGTTTCTTATGTTACAATCTGCAGGTTCATATGCTGGACATGGAGTGCTTTTCATACTTGAATCGTGCTTTAGAGAGTTCACTATCTCCAATCGTAATCCTTGCTACAAATAGAGGAATATGTAACGTACGGTATGATACCTCTTGTGCTGATGTTGAAAATGTTAGAATAGTTATTCCAACCTTTTCTTAAATCACAGTTGGTTCAGATTGTTCCTAATACAGGTTACATTAAGCAGTCTTTCCTGTTTTATTTTGTCACTGGTTAGATCCCTGTTACATGTGTCTTGCCTGTGCTTGTGTTCATGTAGGTTCTTTCAAATAATTCATTTGAATTGACAGTTCAGTTTGGTCTAGCTTTATTCACACAAAGTTGTTGTCTTGTGTTTCCATTTATATATGCTAGAAGCTGACAAATAATCATGGTACTATTCAGCTATTCTTTAAAGTTATCATACGGCAAATCTGTGGCTAACACCTAGTGCTCAGCCTGACTTTTTTTTTATTGCTATTTGGAGATTGGAAATTTGCATTTTTTGATTTCCCTGTATATAATCATATATTTGATAAAAAACAACTTGGTCTGCCTCACCAAGTAGGTAGAAGGTGCTTGATTACTTGTCAGGTCAGTAATATTGACATCTGGTATGAGGCCAGTATGCTGGTTTGGAAGACTTAACTAGAAGATTTGTTGGGTCATTTGATAATAGAACTAGAAAAATAACTTAAGGATGAATAAAATTTTGGGACTTGTAAAAAGAACAACAAAATTTGAAGATCGTAGGAAGCATTAACTTAACGAATGCATCATTCTTCTATAAAAAAAATAAAGTAAATAAATAAAAAAAGAAAGAAAACAGAGAACCTGAGTCATATGACTAGTAACGTCCAGAGTTTTATGAAACATTTTGAATTGGTTGGTGTAATTTTCCCATGTCTTCTATGGCAGGCTAAATAAGTTTTGGGGTTGTCTAATACTAAAATATATTTATAAATTAATTTTATCAAACTATAAACATAATATCAATTATTTATCAACCACTTATAAAATTTTAATTAAACACGTAACTTTAAACTGGTTCATAAACCTCTGGACTTCACTGGTTATGTGACTCAGGTTCTCTGTTTTTTTTTTTTTTTTTTTTAAGTCAAGTTAATGCTTCCTACAAACTTCACCATTTTATTGTTCTTCATAAAAGACCCGAAATTCATTCATCATAAATCCAGCCAATGTCTTCTATGGTAGAATAAATCAGTTTTGGGAAACTTCGGCAATTACATTTAATGGGCTCAGTCACACATTTCATTGGAAGTGTCTTAACACTGTTAATTGATTATCCAGGAAATTTTTTTCGTCTCCCACCGGCCTCCATATTTCTGTCTTTACAGTTACACTGTTTATATCAAGAAATCTTTTTGAAAGAGAGAAACAACAATTATGAGAAAATTTCAACCCTTTTAGAATTTCTAGTTAAACTTACTAGTCAAATTCATCTTATTAATTGCAATCCACTAAAATTTGAGGGTTTGCTATAATTTTTCTATTATTTTCCTTTTCTGTTTCTTATGTGGCGCCGGTTGGTCATAACACAAAACTGTTGAATCCTATTTGGGTTATGAAATGAAGGTACGCTAAAACCTAAGCTTGGCTATTCTTTATCTTCTAGTTACACACAACACTCTTCGTTAGGAGAAGAGGGGCCACTCTCTCTCACTCACTGCCTTCAGGTGGGTTTCAATCTCTTTCTTCCGTCTCCCTTTCTGTGTGTCCAACGCCGTATCTAATGTTTATGTATTGTATATTAAATTGAGTTGTTTACGGAAAGAGACGCAACCAAGTTTCGCAAAACCAAAAAACACAAGAAGAAGAAGAAGAAGAAGAAGAAAAAGCTAAAAAATCATGGACAAAATGAAAATAGAAGAAGTTCAATCTACTGCCAAGAAGCAGCGAAGCACCCACACTATATTAAAGGCCTTGGTTTGAGGTCCGTTTTCCTTCTCTTTCTTGCCTCTTAATATTAAGAAAAATCTTACTTTTGTTCTAATTTCCCGCTGCTTTCAACTGTAATTGCTCTCTTTGCGTTAAAGCTCAAACTTTTTTTTTTTTTAGGTTTAGGGTTTAGCTGTGTACGGAATTTTATTTTCGTTTTGTTTCTGTATACAGTTTTGGTTTTGACTTCGCGTTGGCTTTGGGTTGTGTTTATTATATCTGTCTTTTTGTTATCAATTACAAGATTCAGGAAATTGGCTTGTGTTATTATATTTTATTCATGTTTTTTAAAGTTTATAGAATTTGGGTAAAGCATAAAGTTTTAGTAATCAGAAGTGGTAAACCTAAGAATGGTGACAGTTTAGTAATGCAATTACTTTGAGTTGACATATATACAATGGTCACTGTTGGTTTATCTCTTATTAGATAGTAAATGGTGGCTATACTGATCTACATTGGACTAATTGATAAATGTTTGTGGATTTTTCTGATGCAATTAATTATTATTTTCTATTTGGTAGCCAAGTGAACTGCAATATCTGGCTGCTGGCTTCGTGGGTCAGGTGGATGCAAGAGAAGCTGCTGGTCTTGTTGTTGATATGATTAGGCAGAAGAAGATGGCTGGTCGTGCACTCTTATGGCTGGTCCGGTACTGGGAAGACTGCACTGGCCCTCGGCATATGTCAGGAACTTGGGAGCAAGGTGCTCTTGCTATTTCCACATCTGTAATACCTTTTTGTGTTTTGATGTTCCTAATTGGAATCTTTTGTTCTGTTCCTGTTTCTTCTGGTGGATGATGCTTTTGATATTAACAACATTGATGGCTTTCATGGATAAAAAAATGTACATTTTACTACTTTTTGGCAGGTTCCATTTTGCCCAATGGTTGGTTCAGAAGTATACTCATCAGAAGTAAAAAAACTGAGGTTTTGATGGAAAATTTCCGAAGGCTATTGGTCTAGTATGAAGGAAAATAAGAGGTCTATGAGGGAGGTAAGCGCAGTTTAGTTATATGAATCTTTATCAGTCTGGTCTGTCAGGTTACCTTTTTATTTTCATATTGAGTTGGACTTGGGTCATGATGCTTTTTTTTCTTTTTTATAGGTGACTGAACTCTCCCCAGAAGAAACTGAGAGTGTGACAGGTGGCTATGGTAAAAGCATAGCCATGTGATTATTGGATTAAAAACTGTCAAAGGAACCAAGCAACTGAAGCTGGAGCCCACTATTTATGTGCCTTGATCAAAGAAAAATGAGCTCTTGTTATCTTTTCCTTTCGATGCACAGAGCTATAATATGTGTTCTTTGATCTGTTTAGATATTGCTGTTTTTTTCTGGAGGAATTTATTGCATGTTGGTTATTCGTCCTTTTCTATTGCACGTCTGCAGCTTATGTTTGAAAACATATTTTGTTTTTATTTTAATTTGGTCTCTTGCAGGTGGCTGTTGGAGATGTCATATATATTGAGGCAAATAGTGTGGCAGTCAAAAGGGTGGGAAGGAGGTGATGCTTTTGCTACTGAATTTGACCTTGAAGCAGAAGAGTATGTTCCACTTCCTAAAGGGGAAGTTCACAAAAAGAAGAGATAGTCCAGGTTTGTCTCATTTGATTGTGGCTTCTTTGTGCACGTTTGTTGATTCATTCATGATGTTTTATTTTATGATAATAGTATGTTGGATTTTAAAAGACATCAGTTATGTGTTTAAATAGTGAAAGTGCTTTTTGTCTTTCTGACTGTTATACTATCAACACTGCTCTTTCGCTTTCAAGTTGATAACTTATTGGCCCTAAGTGCTCTGTCTTTTCACACGACTCACGTTTCTGTGAAGATAATTGATCCAAGTAAACGAAATCAAGTTGATACATATTTCTTCTTCTGGAGTTTCTGGCATAACTTTTTCGCGTTGAACATGATACAGAAATTATGTATATGTTAGAAAATGCAGAAATGATTTTTGAAGGTAACAGTTTTGGGTAATCTATTGCAATATACAGAAGAGTGGAGACTGGAGACTTTGAAATTTGCATTGGTGGGGGGAAATGAGTTGATCTTTCCCTATATGTATTAGTTTTAATATTTGTTATTGAATTTCAATTTAATGTAGTTACAGAAACAACATAGAATTGCATTTTTTTTTTTTTTTCTTTTAAATAAATGCATATCAAATTTCGATTTAATATTGATGTAGTAACTTTACCAACCAATGTTTTAAAACCCAATCGGGGTGAAACCTGGCAAAGCTTCCGGGTCCCTGGTTGATGGGTTAACCGGTTTGACTGCTGACAAAAACTTTTAAAATTTAGCAAATACACTCCTAAAAATTACGTTAAGTCCTTATAGTTTTGAAATTTATTAAACACACTCCAAATGCAAATCCATCGACGACTGATTGGTGGCGGCGACACACTAGATGCAACCTCAATCGTCCCTTGAGCCCATTTCCATCAAAATATACCTAAGATTTGGTCGAAATAGGTTCGATTTAGGCCCGATCTCATCGACGTCGGTGTTGGCATTCTAGGCCAGATCTCATTGGCGCTGGCATCGACAACCCTCCCCATCACCCAAGAATTACTCCCTCTTTCTCCCGACCAAAACCCACCCTCACCCCACCCCCATTAGCCTCGCCAATCGTCGACAAAATCTCATTGTTGTTGTTGCCAATTTTGTTCGATTTACTCACCAGAAATCAACTCTATTACCACCATTGCGTTCACCGGCAATTTCTCTTCAAAAGCCCCAATATTCTGACCGTCAATTGTTCGCCAATCATCCTCCCAAATCTTAGGGTTTTGGGTGAATAGGAAAAATATAAACCCGACTCATTGAAGCTATCAGGTCCCGGTTTAACCGGTCAGGCCAGGTTTTAAAACATTGTTACCAACTTCTTGTGCAATGTAGTATCGTCCATATTCAACTGTTATTTTTTGGTTTATTATGAAAGAATTATTATAATAATGAAAAAAAATAAAGATTTTTCTCTTTTGATGTTAAAAATGTCAATGATTTGTTTAAAAGATTAGATTTAACCATTAAATTACATGATTTAACCTAATTGCCTTTAAATTAAAATAGCAAGATTGTATAAACTATTGAGTTTAATATAATCTAGCGTTATATGTTACTAATATAATTTTTATTGTTTCATTAAGAATATAATTGAAAAGTCACTAGATATAGGTGTTTATCTATATTTATAAGGTGGTCAAACTTATTTATAACCTTTAAAATTAAGTTAATATGTTTGATTATAACTTTTTTGGATTTATAATTGAATTTATAAGAAGAAAAAAAAGTTGGGGGAAGGTATTTATTTATTTTTTCTTATAAGCAT